AAACAGTGTCTGAGAAAGAAAGGGAAAGCCAGCAAAAAAGAAGCCAGCGTGCTAATGCAACGTAAAGTAAAAACCTACATAGTTCAGCATAAATATATTACAAACTCAGTGAGCTAAGATGGGGGTTGGGGACACACAACAACTTCTAGAGGAGTATGTACTTGGAGGGTTCCACTGCCTTGAGAAGGCTCTCGAATTCCCTTTTTCCAAGCTACCATCAATACATTTACTTAAGGTACAGAGTCAACTACTTACTACCTTGACTGTTCAGACCAAGAATTCACACAGGTAACCAGATCTGACAGGGTCTAGAGCTATCGATAAAAATCTGTGAGACTATGACCCAGACACAGTCTCAAAGAATGAGTGAGGAGTTAGAGAAGACGCTTAATGCCTTTCGGTCTCTGTGTGTGCTCAGGAACTGTACACTGTACATGGGACCATGAAGGTAGTTTTATTGTAAAACCATGAAGGCAGAGAACACTGCCCTTCAAGAGTCCTAACACAGGCCTAGACTCCAAGGTGCTTCTCTACAAGCAGACAGTGAGGCTTGGTTTTGGGTGGCAGGGCTAAGCGGGGCAGCAGTGACTCTACCTATGCATGCAGTAACCCACTTCCCATCTCACACCCATCTTACTGGCTTATGATCCTAACACCACTCCATCCCCAGAGAAGCAAGTTTTCAGCACTAAGAACTGGTGGCTGGTATGATGTGCACTCTAAAGATAGCTTTGTCTGTCCAGCGAGTCCCACTTTATACATACACTATGCCTCGGGGACCTTCTGACTTGCTTCTAACAAGAAATCACTGCGAGGAAGATGAGAAGTCACTGAGCTGACATCATCTACTCTCTGAGGGGCACCCCACTCCATGTGTAAGGCTGTAGTGGAAACCTTAGACAGTGGCATCTCCAATGCACTGCACATGTCTACCGGACCACAACTCTTCCTGCCCTGCTTTTGTTTTCAGGGAGGCAGCAGCAGCGGTACCTTATAGATGTGCATGCATCAAGACCCCGCTCTCCTTCCCTTCTCAGACACTAAGTGTCACAGGGGAAGTGTGTCAGACTGTTCTTCCTTATCATCCTCCTCAGCCCCCAGCCCACACTGTCTGAAGAAGGGCTCCCCACTAGGGCAGAGCACCTCCCTGCATCCAGTGAATGGCCTCTAGCACGTGAGCCTCCGTGAGTCTAGCCACCTCCTGACTGGTGAACACTTAACCCTGCAGTTTCCAATCTGGGGTTTCAAACCCTGTCACACAACACCACACAGCCAATTACTAAAAGTGAAGTTTTGTTAGGTCAAAGGGCATGCACAGTAGTGATTCTGATAGATTAGTTTTACATATGTATCTTCCACAGGTCAAGTGTGAGAATGTTTCCTTGCCCTGACAAATCCGGCTGTGATGAGACTGGTAAAAATGAATGTCTATTCCAGCAGAAACTCGCTTGCACAGGTTGAACTTCACTCAGAGGGAGACACTGAGCTTTTTACCCTTCTTTCCTGCAGTCACCACAGGCATCGTGCATCAGCCTAAGCAGCTATTCCTACATTAAAGAGTCCCACACTAACAGCAGGACTCTTCCCTCAAGTCCAAGTTCTACGTAGAAGAGATCGACAACACAAGCCAGGACTGAGACAGGACAGTGGTGAGGACAGGAGACGGGTACTAAATACATAGGCCTGGGCCACTTCAACCAGAGAGTCCACTCACCTTTTCCTTTCTTAGCCTGAGTCGCTGGTGAACTTCTGTCCCCTGCAGCACAGCACTGTGAATCTCCACTACTGAGGTGATCATGGTGCTGGTTTAGCCTCATCCAGACTGTAAACCTTGAGGCATTACCACAGATCCTGGAAAGCTACCACAGGGCTGAGGTGGCAATATGTGCTCTGTGCCCTGACATGGTGCCTGCTGTGACAACGCTGCCCTTTCGTGTTTTAGTTACAGGTGTGTGTGTGTGTGTGTGTGTGTGTGTGTGTGTACACACCAGGTCCTCAGGGAGGCCAGAGTGCATCAGATCCCTGCAACTGGAGTCAGACATCTGTGAGCCACCGGGCGTGGCTGCTGAGAACTAAACCCAGCTCCTCTGTAAGAGCAGCAGCTCTCCAGTAAGCTGGGTTCTTTTAATGTTCCTACACACTATCAGTTACACTTTCATTATCAGGACAAGGACAGCACACAGACCAAAAACCCACTGTGACACCAAAGTCAAAGCAGCCAAATGCCCGACAGTGATGGGAACTTGACCAAAATGTGCATATCCCTCAATGTGATATTGTCATGTCCAAACAAGGTTAGTACTAACAGATGCTACCATACAAATAAAACCTGAAAGCACACAGTCTAAACAGCACCAAGACACAGCAGGGTATGTGGTGTTTGGGAAATACCTAACAGGCAAATCCCAGTGGTCGCAAAAGACTGGGGTTAAGAAGCAGTGGGAAATAAAGGCTGGCTGGCTGTCCTCAGGGGTAACAAAAATACACCACAACTAAACAGTGATGGTTGCACAACTGTGAATACACTATATGCCACCACTGCACTGTACACACTTAGAGGATTCAAATGCTCAGCTTAATGCTGTGTGTACTTTATCACAATAAAAAGGTAAGGTAAATTCAATATTCTTTAAGTTTGCATCTACCTGTATCTGAAGTGTAAATTTACGAACAGGAGTTATGAACCCTGGAAAGAAAGCAAAACCACAGAAACAGGCTGGGGAGACTTCTCTTGCAGAAAACCAGAGTTTCCCACACCAAGTAGATCATAACTGTCTAGATCCAGAGGATCTGACACAGCCTTCTGGCCTTCCTAGGCACACATGCACATGTGTGAATACATGTACACAAGCACACATACATAAACAAATCTCTGTGTACAAACACATACATATACACACACACACTTTAAAAAAAAAATCAAACACCTCAGGTGAGCACTCACAGTGTCTGCTGACACTGACACAGACGGCAGCACAGTGTAGCTGGCAATGACAGCCAGGCCTGCACATACTAACCTGGCTGCTACAAGGTGCCTACATTTAGTGCTGTGTGAGAGTTGGCCTCCTTTTGCAGCAGATAAAAAAGGCACAGGGAGGTCACATAACCTTGCCTAAGACCAAAGAGCCAGCAGATGGCAGAGCCCCAGAATCTGAATCTAAAACCTGTTTTCTAGGCACAACCCATTCCCACCAATCACAATGCCCAGGTCCAGTCCAGTCTTTGCATTATCCACCCAGTCTAAACAGCACCCTCACAGAACCACCTGTGCAGCCTTTGCAGATGCAGGGCCTTCTCACCTGCAAGGTAGTGGAGTAGAGGGCTACTCTGGCCACACCCTCAGACACTATCTACTTTTATCTGGGGACAAGAACAAAAATTCTTCATGCTCTCTGCATAGTCACCAATGTCCCATACTCTATGGCGGCATGAAGGCCCAGGTGTGGTTGACGTCACCATTCTATTGTGTTTGGACAACACATCACTTCAAGTACCAGTGTGTCAACAGTCGATGCTGTTCCCGGAGCACCTGGTCCTGGCGTGCCACACTGGTCCACCGTGTCTGTGAACAGCTATGCTAGGCACCCAGCCAACCCGCTGACCAACTGCCTGTCTCAAGCTCGTCACTTCTCTTCCGCTCACTGTTCTTTCACACACAGTAAACCATGGCTAAAGACAACCCCAACAAAAGGAGCAAACCATTTGGATAGTCCCGACTTGAACAGATTAAAATAGCCTCCCCTACAAATTTTTCAAAGGTGGAAACATCAATGAAATTGAAGCAACTTGAAACCACAGTACGATTTTTAAAAATCCAGGCTAATGCCCAGTACTCAGTGCCCACACATCCATCCATCCATCCACCCATCCATCCATTTATTTATGTATGTGCAGAAAACAGAAGTCACCTTTGTGTCAAAGTCTGTCCCTGGGAGCACACTCACTACACCACCTCCCCAGGACAACGCTGAAACTTCTAAGCAGGGAGGGGCCCTAAAAGAGTAGTGTTCAGAGACCTGTTTTAGAAGATTTTCCTTTAAATTTCACAGTAAAAAGCAGACACTGTATTTGAGTTATTTCTGTTCTGTTAGCTGACAACACTGTTCAAACTCAGAGACTATGTCCTAAAAACAGAAATGGTAGGGGCCACTGAGTACCCAGTCTGTGAACAAAGCAAACCAGGGAGGTACCAGCAGAGCAGAAGACGACCCTCAGCCATCCTATCTATAAATGCCCACAGCGGCACTGCAGATCAATACAGTGCCTGCATACTATTCATGTTTACCAACCTCTGCAAATCAAAACAAAAACGGGCATCTTAACCTGGCATGGGGATCGTCTCACAGTCCTGAGGGAGGAGGGAGTTAAGTCATTCAAAGTCTGGTACAAGTATTTACATTTAGTAAGAGTTAGAGCAGAGCCACAGAGATGGCTCAGTGGATAAACATCCTTGCTCCCCAAACCTGAGTCTGACCCTGTAACAAACCATGTGAAGGTGGAAGGAGAGAACCGACTCCTGAAAGTTGTCCTCTGACCTCCATGTGTGCTGTGGCAATCTCTTTACCCATGCACACACAAATGCACGCACAAAATTTAAGAAGCAAAAGAGTCAACAGAGCTTGCTAGCTGGCTAAAGAATGATACAACAAGCATTCTAACAGGCTAGCCTTAACTGAGCTCACGAAACTTATGTGAAAAAGATGTTTACTTATTCATACATGGGAAGTAGAAAGGATCTGTGTGACTCCAAGCAGAAAACAGAACACTTTTAGAGATACTTCTTGAGCCAACACTCTCCAACAGATGCAGGTATTCCCCCCTTTCTTAAAGGGCCCCCCTACAACCCAGAAGAGAACCACGCTCTCCCTCCAGGGTCTCTGTAGCCCAGGGCTGACCTGAACTCCAGGATCATTTCAGAGCAGAAATGCAGACCACAGAAGACAGAGAAGCACTGTGAGCTATGACAGGGCCACATCAAGATGCCGTCAAGGAGTACTCACTGTTGGCTCAACTTGGCTTCGATCTGCAATGTCTATGTGGACAATCTCAACAGTTTTCCATGTGTTCGGATCTAAACCGTGAACCTGTGAGAAACAGAAAACTTTATGTGTTCTTCATCAGGAAAGCACTATACTCTACATCCATCCCTTACGACTGGGGATGAAATCACTATTTCGGTAAGCACAGTTGACAGTCTTGACATCTGGACAGCTTGTACTCTTTCTATAGCTTCCCTAGTGAGGGGTGGATGTAAACATGAAACCTATGTCAGGGCTATTTTACAGCAATACTAATAGGTCATTCATGTAATAAAATGTATCTTCGCTGTTTATTGCAAACAATATAAGCTTGCAAACCTTAAGTCCTATGCTAGCAAAGGAAACATGACAACCAGACTTCAAAAGCTGCATTAGGGGCTGGAGAGATTGCTCTGTGGTTAGGAACACCAACTGCTCTAGCAGAGCGTCTGAGTTCAGTACCCAGCATCAGGTTGGTCAGGCCACGACTGCCTAGAGCTCCAGCTGCAGCAAACATGGAAGGCTCCGACCTCCTCTGGCACCTGCACTCATGGGTACCCCCTCCCCAAAGAAAATACTTTTAAAGATCTTTTAAAAAGAATGATTTAGCTGGGTGGTCCAAGAGAAGGATCTGTCTATTCTACAGCTTGTTTGTTTTTAGTGTTAACTTCTTGATACTTCTTACTCGGTAATTTCTCAAACCCTGTAAACTGTTTTAAAGCAATAGATAAGCCCATCTGAAAGCTGGGAATGGCAGGGCAAGTCACACATAAGATATAACCATTGCACAAGCCTTCACTTAGACCTCTGGTCATTTCCCTGACATCAACCCTGGCCCCAGAAGTGAAGCAGCAGTAAACATCAGAGCACTCAGTTATGATTTTAGAGAATTTCTATGAAACAGATCAGCTGACAAGCACACAAACTCAAGCTGCAGTTCCGAGAATGGGCGTCAGTGATGAACCAGCAGAGGCAGAGCAGCTCTAACTAGAATTTAGCCCTTCACTCACCCACACTTCTCTAGGAGAGCAGCAACCCTCAATGTGGGCGTGTACCAAGGTGGGCAGCCTGAGCACATACATTCTAATGGCTTCTAGATGCTGGTGCTCCAGGTCTACAGACACATTTTGAGACCACGGGTTAAGGGCACCAAGGTTTGACACATGCCTCCCCCAGCTCCTAAGGAAGCCTCCACAGTTACTTTCCAGAGTCTTGGCAGGTGTTCTTGGAGCTCAGGTCTGAATGTGTGCCACCTTATCGTAATGTAGTCAGGAGCTTGTCAACGCTCTTTGTAAAACCAAGCACCTTCTCATTCCTGCCCTCTGGTCATTTCCCTGACATTAACCCTGGCCCACAAGTGAAGTGGCAGAAAACATTAGAGCAATCAGTTCTGGTATTTATACAACTGCTCTGGTGAGCACACAGAAAACAATCTAAAACCACCGGGTAAGAACGGACTGCAGCCTTCTCCCTGCTCCAAACAAGAGAGAAGCTGATAAAAACAGCAATCTCAAAAGAGTCCACTCAGCATCAAGGCAGGGACGGACAGAGGGAAGCCTGTTTGTTTCTGACTTGCTTGCCTCACTCCATGCCCGAACAGCTGTGTGGCCCAGTGATCATCTAATCCAGGGTCACCATAGCACTGGGAGAGTGGTGGTTTTTCCATTTACTCTCACTCTCACAGTCTTAATCACTCAAGTGCAGAGCTGGGACCATCCTGATGGTGCCGGGGCCTCACACACATTGACTAAGCATTCCACGAAGCAGCCATGCTCCAGCCTTTGGAGTGAAGAGTGGAAACTTACATTTTCTATTGTTCCCAAGTCAGGTTTATGCCATGTTTCGATTTTGATGAAGAAGTCATCTTTCATATATTCATTCTGCAGAAAACACAAGAATGTGACCCACCCTTCACAGTTCTGTAGAAATCTCCCTAGCACAGCACCCCAGTGTGGATCTCTTTCCAAATCCAGAGTCATTAGCCCCTGTTCCCCATGTCAATTTTAGATTTCGTGTGTGTGGGTATGCGCATGTCTGTGTGTGTGTGTGTTTTCCCTACATCCATGTATGTGGGCACTTGTGTGCTGTACCTGTGGAAGGCAGATGAGGGTATTAGATTCCCTGGAACTTGATTTATGGATGGTTGTGGGCCACCATGTGACTCTAGGAACCAAACCTGGGTCCTCTGGAAGAGCAGCCCATGCTCCTGATTTTTAAAAACTTGCTGGGTATAGCACATGATGCTTTTATATATTTCAAACACTCCCACTTGTCATGCAGGACAGAGGCAAAAAAAACAATCCATAAGGTTTGCTGAGCTGTTCTGGCATTTAGAGTAAGTAGCAAAAGCAAAATAAAAACCAGAAAGCAATGTGAAGCAAACCTGGGAGGTGGGAGCCCAGAAACACCTGAGGCAGGAATGGCGGGGAGGACACGGGAGAGGCCATAAGCAACGGGAGCTTAAGCAAGAGGCCAGCAGAGGTTGGGAATCATTAAAATGCAAAAACAGAGTTAAAGGAAGAGTGTGTGCTACTCACCGTTACAACTGAGGCAGAGAGGAGAGGCGGCACCGAAACAGGAAAAACTTCAGTTAGAAGGAGTCAAGACAGCCCGTCCCAGTACCTTACGTCAGGTGGACTAAGCTATCCCAAACATGTAACATTTAGTAGCTTATGTCTTCAAAATGGTCTCTACACAAGTGACACCAAGAGATCCTCAATTTAGGTTACAGAGTACAAAGACAGTATGAAGAATAACAATCTACCTTACTTTAAGAATATCACAAAAGTCTGACATCACTTATGAGATTGTTTGGCAAACAAATCTGCAGCACCCCTCCCAGGGGGCCACTGGAGCACACCAAAAGGCACCCTGAGCACACGTGACCTCTATGATTTCCCTATTTACTTGTCCACCCCAAAGCCGGCAGTTAGCAGGACTTCCATACGGCTGTCATCTGGGAGTGAACCTAGGAATACACACAGGTCTGGGTAGGAAAAATCTGGGGCTCCTTGGCTGTCACCCAAGCAGTGACTGTCTGAGAACCCAGAGAAGGCTTTGTTTGGTCTAAACCTTTTAGACTGGAGCACTTAAGAGTCCCTCTCCTCATCGTAAGGGCAGCAGGGTGCAATGCTGCGGGGACCAGCTTACTTGTTCTGCAGTAGGGGTAAGCATTCCAGGCCTTCTCATGAAACACCAAGGAGCCCTCGGGAGCAATCATCCTCACAAATGCAGGAACTTTGCTGTGAGGAGAAAGATACCAGATACCTTTTCAACTACACCATCATTTCTGATGCTATCAAAGATGTCATCACATTCCAAACCTGACGGGCTAGATGGCACTGACAGTTCATTTCAATCACAAAGCAAGCATGTGGCAAGTTAATGTTTAAAACATGGCTAAGAAGATTTAGCTACATAAGGGGTTACTGTCCATTCTTTTGTGTGTTTTATGTTCTGGTGGTCCCGAGGATGGCTTTATATATGGTAGACAAACACAGTACCACTAAGCTTCACCACCATGTGAGGTCAGCAGGCAAATCTGACCTTTAGGATGAAGCTGGTCTTCACTCTAAAGTTACCGAGTCCACACACGGCACACCACTGTATTCACACAGTCGAGGTTCACCTAACAGAAGGAAGCCATGAATACAGGGCTGTGTCTAAACAGTCACACGATGCAGTGGACACAGCAGGCCTCAAGAACTGTACGAATGAGTAGGAAAGATAAAGCATAGCCCACACCATAAGATTCTACAGGAGAGCAAGGGTGGGGCTCAGGCCTGCCTCCTCAGCTCTCAGGAGGCTGAGAAAGGAGGATCTCCCGAGCCTGGGGTTAGAGTGAATCCTGTCTCACAGAAGGAAAAAAAGGGAGGGGGGAGCTGGACATGGTGATGCACACCTTTTAATTCCAGCATAAGGAGGCAGAATCTGTAAGCTCGAGGCTAGCCAGGTTTACAAAATGAGTTCTAGGCTAGCCAAATGCTATTTTAAAGAAAAGAAAGGAAGGGAAGAAGGGAAGAAGGGGGAAGGGAGGGAGGGAAGAAGGGAGGGAAGGAAGGAAAGAGAGAAAAACTAAAAGCCAGGTAGGGGGTAAAGGTGACTCACACTTTTAATCCTGCCACTTGGGAGGCAGAGGCAGGTAGATCTTTTGAGTTCAAGGCCAGCCTGGTCTATAGAATGAGTTCCAGGATAGCCAGGGCTACACAGAGAAACCTTGCCTTGAAAACCCACAAGAATTTTAATTCTGTAAGTTTGAGAAATGGCTGTCACTAGCCACCTCAAATGTGATCAGAGGAAAAAGGCTAAAAAAGACTGGAAAAAAAAAAAAGACAACTTGTGAAAACTCCTATCCACCACCAACAACCCCAAAGGCAACTGCATCTCCTCTCAGCCAGTTACCGACAAGTCAGAAGACTGGCACTGGCAGTTTCCACAGAACTACAAGTGAGCTGTGCATGGTATGAACAGAGACGACTGTAAGGGGGCAGCCCCAGGATACACTGTCACAGACTAAATTCAACTCCCAACCTGCCAACACTGGGCACAAGGCAGGAACCTCAAAAGGCAGGGCCTGTTTCACCATCTGAGTTATCTAGTAATTAAGATGTTAAATCATGTACGTCAAAGCTGCAACCTACCCCCGACTCCAAGCACTTTATACACTCTTTCTATGTCACAGCAAATGTCAAACTCACTTATTCAATAAGACAGAGAACAAAGTTAAGGAAACTTGGGAGCCAGGAAGGACTTCTGACTGCACTAAGAGTGAGGCAGGAGCTAGCCCTTAGCTCAATGCAGGAGGCTCAACAAGGTAAGGAGCCCCCAAAAGTCAGGTCCAGAGGACATGACATAGGGACACGGCTTGGGAGTTTCACTATTCAGACAAATTACATCACAGGGGAAGATGTTCTGAGTAGCAGAGCAAGTAGCAATCCTAGGAGAGACAAAGCATTTTTCATGTGCCTTTACATTCTTCAAAACTGGCAATGAATGATGACCAATTCTGACTGCTTACTTTCTTAAAAAATTATTTAATTTTTATGTATATGAGTGCTTTATTTGCATGTATACCTGAGTGCAGGGCACCAGATCCCATTACAGATGGTTATGAGCCACCATGTGGTTGCTGGGAATTGAACTCAGGACCTCTGGAAGACCAGTTAATCATCTCTCCAGTCCCCTGAGTGTTTATTCTTTCAGCTAGCATAACCTAAAGGGGAAGCTCCAGGTCCCTGCCTTTGAAAACAGGGTAGAGGCTGGGAAGGTATCTCAGTGGATAAAGGCATATGTCACTAAGCCTGACAACCTGTGTCTGACCCTTAAGGATCAGTTCCCACAAGTTGTCCTCTAACCTGCCCATGGCATCCAGGCACATGCTCACATACCTCACTGCTGCCTTGAGGCCTCAACAAATGCATACTCACGAGTGCATGAGCCTGCCTGCGTGGGCAAGTTCACCTACATATACAATACACACACACACACACACACACACACACACACAGAGAGAGAGAGAGAGAGAGAGAGAGAGAGAGACAGACAGAGAGAGAGAGACAGACAGAGAACATCCAGTACAAGTTTCACACAGCTAAGAACTAAAACCAACAGTCCCTTATATTTTGTGTAATTAGAACAAACTACAGGATTCCAGCTCCAAGAGTACGGCAAACACTTGCCAATAGTTTAGGCAGTCAACTTAGAAAACAGGGCCGACAAAACCCACTGAAGATTACATCAGACAGAGTTTATCCTATATGGCCAAACAGTGGAAAAACCTAATACCTATAAACCAGTATCAGACCTGCTGACTCCTCAGTGTGCACACTCAAGGCCAGAGGATGCAAACTGTCCTGTCCTATGACTCTCAACCTCCTTATTGTCACCAAAACCAGAGCTGTACTGGATGCCAGCAAGCCCCTGTAATCCTCCCATCTGAGGTTACAGGTGTGCACAGCCACATTCAGTCTTTATCTGGGCTCTGGGGATTTGAACTTAGATCCTCATTCTTGCTCAACAAGTGCTATGACCCACTGAGTCATCACCCCAGGCCCACTTTTAATATTTCTGTATCCTTATTTCAACTGTTGCCTATCAGATTTCCAAGGCTGACTCTACCACTTGTGTTCCTTTTTTAAAAACTCAAGTTAATAAAATTCTCATCTTTGAGCCAGATGCTCCAAACTTATTATCCTTTTTGCACCTAGCATAAGAACATTCACTAGTATCTGTCTTCATGTGTCTAGTAATGACTGAAATCTGGGGAAATATGCACACGGAATAAACAAAATATAATTCAAATTCAGCTTTTTGGAAGAGAGGTCTTCATTAGTGGATCTTCTTCCACACTCTCAGCAAGGCAATTGGCTGCATGGATATCATTTTTCTTCTATCTCTTACAAATCATTTTGACTACTGAAAAATCACTTTATAAGTTTAGGAAGCCCGAGAAAAATGAATGACTAGTAAACAGATTTATGAAAAGGAGCTAGGCCTACAAAGTGCACACAGGAGACATTCCTGCCGTCTCCTCCACTAAGCATTCACAAGATGGTGACTCCTGATGTTCTTAGCAGGCCTCACATCAAGGTACCTAGTGCAGATCTGATTAAGACCAGCACTCTCATAGCATGAAACTCTAAAGCAGGAAGCTTCTTTCAGAAAGCCTGCCCTGTCCCACACATTCAGAATATTCAACCTAGGGATCACAGTCAACTGGAGAGTTTTATTCTACTACATTGAAAGGAGGTTGTAGGAGATCTAATCATAATGGAACGACGGTCATCACCCATTTGTTCCCAGCCAGGGCAACTGAAGCCGGAGCTGAAGTTACAGGTACCCTGAGCTCCCTGACATGGGAGCTGGGAACTGAACCCAGGTCCTGTGCAAGAGCAGCCTGTGCTCTTAACCACTGAGCAGCTCTCCAGCCTAGGGAAGGCAATGTCTCAGGAGAAGAGGAGGAATAAAACAGACTCACATGGCTCATTGACTCTGACTGCCGTGCTGGGGGCTTGGAAACAACAAACAGGGACAATCCCAGCACAGCTTGCTCTTCCAGGAGAGGAAGCAGAGACAACAGAAGACAAAAACCAAGACCTGTCTTGCAGGGAAGCACAGGGCAAGGGTGGAGGTGCTGCAGAAGAGACTGAGCACAGGTCAGTGAGGCCGGAGCCTCGGCACAGTTCCCTCACGGCTAACTGCAGGGAGAGTAAGACAGACACAGCTGCCTAGGCTGGCTAGTGTGCAGTGGGCAGGCAGACGAGGCAGACTGCTTGCCTACAGTCTGGAGTGTGAAGTTCATCCTTTGTCATGTGGGAGGCAACTGAAAGCTTTGAGAAGAACAACACAACCTGGGTCAAGTTTTAAGATAACTCTGGCTCTGTGTGGAAAATTAAACAGAAGTGGGGGAGTGGGCAGATGGTGGCAAAATCAACGCCAAATGTACAGACCTAATGGTGAAGGGTGGAGTGTACCAGTGACTTGGGAGAAGCACAAACCAGTGAACTGGAACTTCATAAAACAATAAACTTTTCTGGCTTCAGAGGGCACTGTTTAAAAAAATAAAAACTCAGGCTACAGAATGGGAATAGTTCTGCATATCAGCTCTGACAGGGCCCTAACACACAGAAGTTCTATACAGTAAAGAAAGGTGAGACTGGCAGTAGAGCTGACAGTTCCCATACTCAAGGAGGATGAGGAAGGAGGAGCACAAGCATGAGCCTGAGCTACGTGGAGACTGACCAGAACACCAAACCAAATCAAACCAAAACAGAAGATATGAACAGCATTTCTCCAATAATAAGCAAAGTCCATAAAATTCATAAGGGAATTCTAACATCCTTAATTATCAGTGACAAGTACCACAAGTAGGTGCTCTTCATACGCAAATGGCTGTAAGCAGGAAGCCAAGGGGTCTGGACTTAGCTATTCTGGGTCAAGTGAAACCCAGAATTTCACAAATTTGGTAAAATAAGGTGTTGGTGGTCTTAATCAAACCTACAATTTTACTGATGTTAAGTGGGGACACACTGACTTGGTGACTTGGCTTACATAATTAAATGCAGCCCTTGCAAGTTCAGCTTCCTTAGGTGTGAGTTGAAAATGCTCGAGGGACAGTGGGCACCGTCTAGAATGCTCACATAGTGCCCTGGAAGAAGCGGACTCTGACGGCCGTAGCGGCTGCTAGGTGACCTGTGTCCTTCTGTAAGGTAACTATTTGACGGCTAAGCAGCAGTCAATGTGACACTAATGAATCTGAGAGCCTGTCCCACAGACTGCTGCCCTCTCCCTTTCTCCTTTCACGCCTCTGCATATTTCTGTTCATTGCTACCATCTATGGACAGGGGTTGAAGGGCCTGGTAAGAATGGGCACAAGAGTCAAGCAGCCTTCACCATCCCCTTTGTCACCTTCTGCTCCTCCTCAGGGGATTACTGGGTTCTCAACTGGGCTCCTTAGGCCTTGGACTTCACATTCTGACCAAGAGAAACTAAAGGTCAGAGTATCCAAGTCGCTGTCATTTTCTGACCACAGCAAGGGGTATCTCCGTCTTCCTGTGTGAAACTTACAAACTGTCGATGGGACAGTACAGAGACACGGTGCTATGGAGCAGAGAGACCCTGCACTACAAGTCTGAACGTTCTAATCTCATGTCCAAAGAAGCTGTTAATCAATAGTGTCACTTGCAGTGACCATATTTATAGCTCTCTTCGACTAAGAGTCATCATTAATGGCTGGAGGGTTATCTAAATCAGATGTTTCAAAAATGGCACTTAATACTCTTCTTTCCCATAATAATGAAATCACCTACATCTCAGCAGGAAGTGATCAACATTTCTAATATTTTAATGACTTTCAAGGCTTCTTATTAGGTTTTAAAAACATGGAACACAGTATGAATACCTAATGACCCAGTAATAGACCTTTTCTATATAAGATGCTGTTTTTCTAATATCTGAACCTTTAGGTTTCAAATAAAGGATGTTACACATTTTTTTAAAGAGACATTACATATCTTTAAAGGTTGGTTTTCTTTCGACCTGATACAAGCTAGTCAGCTGGAAAGATCTTCTGAGAAAATGTCTCACCAGACTGCCTGCAGGCAAGTTTGTTAAGGATACCTTCTTTTTTTTCCTCTCTCTCTCCCTCCTCCTCCCCCCCCCCTTTTTGGTTTTTTGAGACAGGATTTCTCTGTGTAGCCAGGGCTGTCCTACAACTCACTCTGTAGACCAGGCTGGCCTCGAACTCGGAAATCCTCCTGCCTCTGCCTCCCAAGTGCTGGGATTAAAGGCGTGCGCCACCACTGCCCCCCTGGCTTAGGATATCTTCTTGATTAATGACTGAGAAGGAAGGTAGCCCAGCCCATCAGGGTAGGTATTAGCCTGGGCAGGTGGCCTTGAACGGTACAGGAAAGCAGGCTGAGCAGGAATGGGAACAGCCTGCCTCCATGGTCTCTGCCTCAGTTGCTGCCTCCAGGTTCATGCTAGGGCTTGCCTAAGGATGGGCTGTGACTTGTAAGCCAAATGAACTCCTTCCTCACCATGTTGGTTTTGGTCATGGAGTTTTGTCACTGCAATGGAACAAGCTAGTGTTTTCTCACTTGGAATACTAATCTATAAAGGACATCATAGACCAATACAGAATTTCCTACATCAAATCCTTTGGCTTATTTAGCACTCCCAGAAAGAGCCCACTGCTTTCAGTAAGGACCTTCTAGCTGTTTGTAGAACTCAAGTAATGGGTAAATCAAAACTTTTAGTGAAAAAAAAAAAAAAGAGGCTGCAAAAACGACTCAGTGGCTGAGAGCACTTTGACAGAGGTCAGTTCCCAGAGCACACACAGAAAGGACCACTGCAGCCTATAACCCTCTTCTGGCCTCCACAGGGAACTCCACACTGGTGACGTGCAACATACACACACACATAAATGGAAATATGGCCTTAAAAGAGAAAGTGATGGTAAGATTTCAGCTTAATCATCTAGACTCATCTACACTGCAGGGACTTGAGTTAAGAGTTGTGTATATACATATACACTTGTCACACACATACACACACACACACACACACACACACACACACACAGATGGACGGGGGGCTTTACTCAACTGATAAAGTTCTTGTCTTGTGAGCATGAGACCCTTTTGTTCAATCCCCAAAACCACAGCTAAGTGCTGGGCTCAGTGACCTGTACCCACCATCCCAGTGCCAGTCAGTCTACTGTAACTGGTAAGGTAACTGGTGAGCTCCAGGTGAATATGGGCCCTATCTCAGAGGGGCCCTTCATCTGGAGCACAATACCGGAGGCTCCCACAGAGATATTTAAAAAAAAAAAAAAGACTCCTATAGATGTCAAATAAAACCATGGATGAGCTAGGATCTGGAAGAATAACCCTTAAAGTTTCAAGTATGTATGTGTGTACATACTTCATGCGTGTCTGGTACTCATGGAGGTGAGAAGTTCCTGGTAACCATGGTGCAAGATCCCACTGAGAGAAAATGAGACCCATGTGGGTGCTGGGAACCAAACCTGGGCACTCTGCAAGAGCAGTCGATGCGACTGACTGCTAACCATCCTCTCCAGACTGAGGATGAAGGTTTATAGTCTTCCCTAGAACTTTTGTTACAGGCAAATGTATCACTTTCATAATTTAGTATAAAAACAAAGGGGCACAACAACAAGTTAAAGCATAACACATGATCACGGACTGCTACAGCTCATGGGCCTACTGCTAAGGAGGCTGCTGGACAGACAGACGCTGCAGGCTACAGGTGGAGCCCACTTGCCTCTTCAGGTGGTAGATTTTGTGTGTGTACTGTCCCTTCTCGCCGTCGTTTTCATAGGGCTCGTTCTTCAGGACTTCAATTCCTTCTCCACCACCAGTTTCATTCTTACTCGCTTCTGCAACAGAGTAAAGCTGGCCAACCTGATACTGGAATGCCAAAGAGCAGAGTTTCACTAAGTCAATAAAAGCTGCAGAATGTTCCTGTGCTAAAACCACAATAGAGATGATACAGAAAACCCCACACAAACCCTTCGGCACAATCTACATGAAAACAGAACTCAAGTGACAAATGCTGGATGATCACAGGATTTCCAGTGTTCACAAACAAAAAAGACAATAACTAATACTTTATTTGTATAATAACATATCAGGAAAATGTCAGCACTTAGTTCAACTTCTGAACGATGAATCTGTACTCTGTGAAACATTTTTATTTCTCTTAAATTGTAGGAGTGCAACCTTAAGGCTGGGCAACCAGCTAGCTCTCCATTCTCAGTAATGAAGAACAACGTATGTAGTGTGCTAGGAAAAGCCTTGGGAGACTTTAGCACAGCTGAAGACACATTACTAGGTCTCTAAGAGCAGAACTTTTCAATAAAATTCTCCAATAAACACAAACTTTCTGGAAATATAAGCATGTATTATTAGCACAAAAGGCTGGTGAGTGCTCGGTCATTCCTATTCCATAGTGAACCAGGACTCTCAGTGGTAGGGCAGTTCCCATAAGTCTACAGTACAGAACTGTGCCACTGCCACAAGGAACAAACTGAGGTTCTTATGGCCTACTTGTTCTAGGGACCAACCGTGGGATTATTGCCAATCCCTTCAAATTTGACTAAGACAGCCTGAAGAAGCTTTTTCTTCTTTATAATCTTATTTTCAAAGAAAAGGCACAAAATTTTATCTCTAAGAACTCATAATTCAAAGCTAAACTATAATTGAGAGAATAAAAGGATTGTCATAATCCCAGAAAATATTCCATCTAAAAAAACTCTTGGAATGCAATGTTATAATGCTAGCTAACTTAATAGTCTCCCTCTCCTGCTTTCTCTCCCTCCC